GCGTCGCGGGCCCAGCTGCGATTGCGACTCGGACCTCGGCGCCGGAGGTCTCCAACCCAGACTCGGCCTCGCCCCCGAGGAAAGGTCGCCGGGGTCGAGGGCGAGGGGCTCCCCGCAGGCTCGCGCGCGACCAGGGAGGGCCTCGTCCAGTTGCCTTTCGACGTGGGCCCCGTCAACTTGGAATGCGCGCCGGCGGTGGTCGAGTCGTTCGTGGGGCCCAAGACTCTCGCCGACACCTTGGGCGCCAACTCGACCTTGGCGGCGATGGCCAGCCTCGGGTCCTGCTCTCCTTTCTTTTTGCTCGTCCTCGACTCCGCCCCCCCTTCCCCCTCCCCCACCCCCCTCTCCTCCTCGCCCCCCGCTCCTCCCCCCCCCGCCTGCCCCTCTCCCTCCTCCTCCTCCTCCTCCTCCTCCTCCTCCTCCTCCTCCTCCTCCTCCTCCTCCTCCTCCTCCTCCCCCTCCTCCTCCCCCCCCCCCCCCCCCCCCCCCCCTCCTCTTCCTCCTCCTCCTCGCCGCGCCCGCCCTGTCGGCAGTCGGCGCCGTCGGGCGCCCTCCTCTTCTACCTCCCCTTCCTTCGACCCCTCCTTCCTCCTCCGCCCCCCCCCCTCCTCTCCCACTTCCCCCCCCTTCAACTGCTGCTGCCCCCCTCCTGTCACCTATCTGTCACCGCCCCCCTCTCTCTTTGGAAGGGTGCCCAGGATGGCTTGCTTGGGCTCTGCATGGAGAGGCCGCTGAAAGAACTCGGGGCCCTCCGCCCGTCCTCGGCAGCGGAGCGGAGGGCGGGCGAGGCTCGATCAATCTGGCTGCTGCCTGCCCAAGGCGGAAAAGCGACGGCACGCCGGTCCGCCCCCCCCCCCACCCCCCACCACCACCACCACGTTCACCCCTCCGCGCTCTCGGCGTGGCGGGGGGGGGGCAAGGGCGAGGCCGGCTGGCTGGGCCCCGGCAGCAAAAGCCGACTGGGCAATGGGCAGCCAGATTGAGGGACCCCCCCCGCCCTCTTCTCCGCGCTGGGCTACCCTCGCCCGACATGAACGGCGACGTGTCCGAGAGGCCCACGGAGTCGTCGTCGCCCTGAGTCTCGCGCAACGGCGGGCCGCCCTTCAACTGAGACGCGGCGGCGTCGGAACAGTTGGAGGTTGCCGGGGGGGCCGGCTCCAATCGCGGAGCCTTGTTCGCCGGGGGCGCCGGGGGTCGGACCTTCGCCAGTCGAATCGCCCTCAGGTGGCCTGCGATCGTCGGCGGCGAGGGCCCGCTGCAATCGTCGGCGGCGGCCCGCTTCTTGCGAATCACCCGAGGGCTCTCGGACGTCGCCATCTCGGGCGCGCCAGAGGCAGCTCGCGGAGGGCGCGAGGGGAACGGGGGGCGACGCAGACGCGGCCGCGCGACGTTCCTGCCCGCGCAGGCCGCCCCGCACTCGGAGCAAACCTACTCCCTGGGGCCTGGGCGGGCAGGGGGCCTGCGAGGAACGAGGGGTGGGAACGTCGCGCCCGCAGCGGCTTCGCCCCCCAAGTTCCCCCTGGCGGCGGCGAAGCGGGGCTCGCTGACCCCGCTGACGCTTGGGCCCCGCGGCTGTCCGAACGAGGAAGTGGGCGAAGGGGTTGGCGAGAGCGACAGAGAGATGGATAGAGAGAAGTAGGGAAGTAGGGGGGGGGGGGGATCTGGCTCAGGCCGCCCCTGGCCCCGCGGGCCTGGGTTTAGTTCTTCCCGACCAGGGCCGAGAAAACAACCCAACCCGACCGTGCGAAAAACTAAGCCCGACCAGGGAAAAACTAAACCCGACCAAGAACAAAAACTAAGCCCGAGCAAAAGAAAACTGGGCCCGACTAAGGAAACACTAAACCCGACCAAAGAAAAACTAAACCCGACCAAAGGAAAAACTATGCCCGACTAAACCCGACCAGGGGAAAACTAAACCCGATCAAGGAAAAACTAACCCCGACCAAAGGAAAGCTAGAACCATACCAAAAACAAACACTAAACGTGACCAAAGGAAAACTAGACCCGACCAGAGAAAAACTATACCAGACCAAATGAAAAACTACACCCTACCATGGGAAAACTAGACCCGGCCAGAGGAAAACGAAATCCGACCAAAGGAAAAACAAAACCCGAAGGAAAACTAGACCCGACCACGGGAAAAGTAGACCCGACCAAAGGACAACTAAACCCGGCCAAGGAAACACTTAACCCGACCAACGAGAAAACTAAACGCGACCATGGGAAAACTAAACCCGACCAAAGAAAAACTACACCAACCATAAGAAAAACCAAACCAACCCCACCAACGAAAAACTAGACCCGACCATAAGAAACACAAAACCAGACAAATGGAAAAACTAGACCCGACCAAATGAAAACTAACCCCGACCACGGAAAGCCTAAACCCGACCAAAGAAAGACTAGACCCGAGAAGGAACAAACAAAAACAAAAAAAAAAAAAAAAAAAAAAAACGACCAAGGAAGAACTATACCCGTCCAAAGGAAAACTAAACCAGACCAAAGAAAAACTAGACCCGGCCAAAAGAAAAACAATCTCGACCAGGGGAAAACTAGACCCCACCGAGGAACAACTAGACCCGACCATGGAAACTTACACCCGACCAAAAGGGAAAACTACACCCGACCAAGGGACAACTCAACCCGACCACGGAAAAACTAGACCCGACCAAGGGAAAACTAAACCCGGCCAGAGGGGAACTAGACCCGACCAAAGAAGAACTATACCCGACCAAAGGAACAAAAGAACAACTAAACCCGACCAGGGAAAAACTAAACCCGACCAGGGGAAAACTGAACCCGGCCACGTGAGAACTAGACCCGACCAAATGAAAACTACACCCGACCAAAGGAAAAACTAACACCAACCAAAGGACAACTAAACCCGACCAGGGAAAAACTAAACCCGACCAAAGAAAAACTACGCCCGACCAAAGGAGACGCTAAACCCGACCAAAGGAAAACTAACCCCGACCAAGGAAAAACTACACCCGAGCAAAGAAAAACTATACCCGACCACAGGAAGAACTACACCCGACCAGAGGAAAACTAACCCCGACCAAGGGAAACTAGACCCGACCAGAGACAAAAGGAACAACTAGACCCGACCAAGGTAAAACTCGACCCGACCAGAAAAAATAGACCCGACCAAGAGAAAAATAAACCCGACCAAAAGAAAACTAAACCCGACCAAAGGAAAACTAGAACCCGACCATAAAAACTAGACCCGACCCCCCCCAAAAAAAAAACCCGACCAACGGAAAAGTAGACCCGACAAAAAAAAAAAAAAACTAAACCCGACCAAATGAAAACTACACCCGACCAAAAGAACAACTAGACCCGACCAAAGGAAAACTAAACTCGACCAAGGGAAAACTAAACCCGACCAAAAGAAAAAACTAGACCCGACCAAAGGAAGAACTAGACCCGGCCAGGGGGAAACTAGACCCGACCATGGAAAAACTAGACCCGGCCAAAGAAAAACTTGTCCCGACCAAAGGAACAACTAGACCTGGCCAAAGAAAACTAGACCCGACCAAAGCAAAACTAGACCCGACCAAAGGAAAACGAAACCCGACCAGGAAAAAACTAAACCCGACCAAAAGAAACGCTAGACCCGACCAAAGGAAAACTAGACTCAAACAAAAAAACTATGCCCGACGAACAGAAAACTAAACCCGACCAAAGGAAAACAACTAAATCCGACCAAGGGAAAACTAAACCCGACCAAAGAAAAACTAAACTCGACCAAAGGAAGAACTAAACCCGACCAACAGAAAACTAGACCCGAGTAAAGAAAACTAAACCCGACCAAGGAAAAACTACACCCGACCACAAAAAAAACTAGACCCGACCAAAGGAACAACTAGAATCTACTATGGGACAACTAGACCCGACCAGGAAAAAACTAATCCCGACCAAAGGAAAACTACGGAAAACTAAACCCGACCAAGGGAAAACTAAACCCGACCGCGGAAAAACGAATCCCGACCAGGAAAAAAACAACTAAACCCGACCACGGGAAAACTAAACCCGACCAACGGAAAAACAACTAAACCCGACCAAGGGAAAACTAAACCCGACCAAAGGAAAAGCTAGACCCGACCGAGGGAAAACTAAACCCGACCAGAGGGGAACTAGACCCGACCATGGAAAAACTAAACCCGACCAAAAGAACAACTAAACCCGACCAGGGGAAAACTAGACCCGACCACAGGAAAACTAAACCCGACCAAAGGGAAAACTAAACCCGACCAAAGGAAAAACTAGACCCGACGATGGAAAAAGCTTCCCCCCGAAAACTAGACCAGACCATGGAAAAAACTAGACCCGACAAAGGAAAAGTTAGACCCGACCAAGGGAAAACTACACCCGACCAAAGAAAAACTGGACCCGACCAGAGAAAAACTAGACCGGACCAAAAAAATAAAAAAAAATAAACCCGGCCAATGGAAAACCAGACCCCGACCAAGAAAAAACTACACCCGACCAAAGAAAAACTAAACCCGACCAAAGGAACAACTATACCCGACCAAGGGAAAACTAGACCCGACCAGGGAAAAACTCAACCTGACCAAAAAAACCAAGCCCGACCAAAGGAAAAAAACTAGACCCGACCATAGGAAAACGATACCCGATCATGAGAAAACTAAGCACGATCATGGGAAAACTGAACAGGAGACGCGGGCTATGGCAACCAATACCATGAGAACATGACGGAACATAACCACAAATAACACGATTGCGCCGATGGCGACGACGACGGCGACATCGCGACCGCCGCGACCTGCGGCGATGGCAGCATTCACGCCTCAGAAAAGCCGACGCCGCCGTCAGCCGTGGGGCCTGCATCACTGTCGCGCGCCGCCGCAGAACTCACCCCTCAGAACCGACGCCATTTGGCCCCTCTCGGAAACGAATGCTCGAGCGGCCTCTCACGCGGCAACGGGCGCGCCAGAGGCCGCGAAGGACACGCCAGAGGCAGTGTGTCACATGCACGCCTACTCGTCGCCCGAGCTCGCGCCCTCCTCCTCCTCCTCCCCATCCTCGCCGTCCCCGGCCACTGGCATCAACGGACGTCTTGCCTCCATCATGGTTCCGCTGAAATACTTGCTGGCTTTCTCGACGAACCCGGCGTCGCCGCCAAATTGCCCCGCGCACCCCTCGTCGCGGCCCGCCTTGCACATCGCGCACCTGTCCGCGATGGAGTCGAGCCAGTCGCACTCCACTGCGCCAGAGGCAGCAACTGCCAAAGCGCCAGAACCTGGAGTGAAGTCCACGACGTGGGTCGCTTTGCGGCGCTCCACGAGTATGTTGCAAGCTGAGCGGCTTCACCTCGCTGTGCGAGAACGGGTGGCCCTTCGAGTCGATGTCTCCCTGCAGGCGCGGATGCCCCCCGTCAACGCTAGCGCAAGATGCAGCTTCCAAGAGGCTCGTCTTCGTCTCGTGGCCCATGCGAGGGAGCTCGGAGAAACGCCGCATCGGGATACCGCTGCACGACGTGTCTGCGGTCGAGGACGCGCCGCGCGCGTTGAACTCCGCACGGTGCGCCACTTTCCGCGGCGGGCCCTTGAGTGGCATCGAGAAAATGGCCGCCCCCTTTTGTTCTTCGTGTAGCTCGACGCCCTGGCCGCGGACCGCGGGTCTTCCTTCTTCGTCGGTTGCTCGCGCGCGAACCAGCGCTCGACGTACGCGTGGGGGGCCTCCTGGCTCCAACTTCGTCTCGCAGGACTCAATGGCCCTGCGGTTCGCGCGGCCCCTGCCGTCGAGGAAGACGAGGATGCCATCATTCTGCCTCTTCTGCAAGAAGAACTCGATGACGCGCTTGAACTTCGCCTCGTCACGCGCCATCTGCTCGCCCATCCTCGCCTCGCCGCCTTGCTTGACGACGTTGGGCGGGGACAGCTCCGCTAAGAGGATGAACGCGCGAACGTCGTTCTTCTTCCTCCCGAAGCGGTGCCCGAGGCTGAGCGTATCCCACAAGCTCTGCATCTGCGCCACTGCGTACTCCGCGCCAGAGGCAGCGCCGACAGACGGCAACCGGACGAACTTCACAGTTTTCCTGCGGAGCTGCTTGAGCTGCTCCTGGAGCTTCTGGAGCTCTTCCTTTTGCTCGTCCCCGAGCTCGGACATTCCCAACAAGCCGAGATTTGCATCCAGCTCGGGGTCGGCGGGGGTCGGCCCGCCCGTGCGCGCGGCCACGAAGACGCGGTGCTTGGCACCGACGCCCGAGCTGGTCTCGGCGAGGTACGTGTGCCAGACGAACCCAGCGGTGCTGCTCTGCAACTCCTGCCGGGCACGCTCGGCGATTTCGTCGTCGAAAGCGCTCGACCACAGAGGCCGCGCGACGTCGATCATCGCCTTCGTCTTGACACCCACGGCGTTCCGATGCTCAGCCACGTGGAGCGCAAACAATGTCTCCATCCCGTCGGCGCCGCCGCCTGAGTCGGACGCGCGGTGCGAAGCCGCGGGCCCATCCGCGCCAGAGGCAGCGAACTTCTGGATGTCGAGAGGCGTCTTAAATGCCGCCATGTCGCTCCCCAATTCCATGTTCATGAGGAGCGCCTCGTGGAAGATGTACTCGACGAGCTCCTTTTTCCATGAAGAGCGCGTGGGGCATCGCTGGCGTCTCCCCATCGCGCCCGATGACCCGGCTCACGGACAGTTTCCCGCCCTTCGGGGCGTCGCCCGTCAAGCGGGCCGCGCGGAAACTGTTCGCGATGAAAACGAAGAATTCCCTGGCCTCGGCGTCAGAGACAGCCCTCGTGGAGCAGGCGAAGCCGATCCTCATGAGAAGCGTAAGTTCGCGAAGCTCTGGGAAATGCGCTTCGGCCAGCGCGAAGGCCGAACTGCAAGCGCCGTCGAGGACGAAAGGGCGCAGACCTTTCAGCGCCGCGGCGGTTGCAGCGGTGCGCGCTTTTCCTTTGAACTGGAGGCCGTAGGCCTTCAGCGCAGCCTCCAGCTTCGACGCTGGTTCCTGTTTGGCGAAACAGTTATCCACGCTGGTCAAGCGGCGCGTTTTCTTCTGCGAACCGCCAGGGGGACTCGGCGCCAGAGGCAGCACACGCAGAGAACATCTTCTCTGAAAATGTCAGAGCGGCCACGTGGGTCGCGCCGCCATCAGGCAGCAAGCGCATCCTGATGGGCACGGACAACGCGGCAATGAACAGATGCCACACGCGGTCTTCGTTGGACTGCTGGAGCGCCTCGCCCATAGCAGCATGCCGCGTGATGGCCGCCGCGCGCCCCGCGAGTATGGCCAGAGCCTCTGTCGAGCAAACTCCGCGCTTGTTAGGCCCAAGCCGCTGGGCGACCTTGACGTCGACCACCAAGGCGGGGATGGGCGCGTCGAAGGAGAGGCGCCGCGAGGGCGCGTGCTTGGAGGAGAGTGGGTGCGCCTCCCCCGACCACGCGCCCATGGCGCCCTCGAGCTGGCCCGCGGTGACGTCGTCGATGCCCGGGCAAATCGGGCCCAACATCCACGCCGCCCCCGCTGCCTCGCACTCCTTGGTGCGGGAGAAGCTCGCAACCAGGTTGTCGTTGTCCATGACCTCGCGAAACGAACTGAGGTTTGCGCCAGCGGCAGCATCCGCGATGGCCAACGGCGGAATCAAAGAACACTTGGCGGGCACCGCGAAGGACACCTCGCGCTTGCGCTGCCCCAAGAAGCTAAGCTGAGCACACTATGGTCGACGTAATGCTTCACTTGGGGCACCCACTCCTTGACGTGGCCCTGCTGCATCGACGCGCGTTCCGTCTCGAGGAGCTGCGCGATGCACAGGGCCGGCGGCGCGACAGAGGCAGCGGCGGGCGGCGCGCCAGAAGCAGCGGCTGGCGAGGCCGCCGCGGCCGCCGCCTTCTTCGCAGGCGACGGGCCCCCCGCGTCACCTGCCCTCTTGCCCATGGCGGCTGCTGGTGGTTGGGGGGGGGGGGGGGGGGGCGCGAAAAGCAAAAGCGAGCTACTCGCGTCCGAGAACCGAAACCGCTGTGGATGATGATGATGATGATGATGATGGTGGTGATGATGCTGATGATAATGATGGTGATGACGATGATGGCGATAGTTATCATGATGACGGTGATGACGATGATGACAACTGCTGGTTGCGTGATGACGGTGATGATGAAGGTGGTGATGCTAACGACGGTGAGGATGATGATGTTAGCGACGCTGCAGATCCTTAATATGATGCCCCCCCGTGGTGGCCCAGGCAGAAGATGCGCTCCTAAGGCTGATCAGCCAGATTTCGGGTGACCCGCCCGCGCGTGGGTCACCCGATGGCGCGCGCGCGAGGACGCGCGCGTGGCGAAATTTGCATGGTTCGCAATGGAAAAGCCGCCATGTTGGACTGGAAACTCCAGTGAACCCTTAAAGGCTGGCCAACCGGATTTCGGGTGACCCGCCCGCGCGTGGGTCACCCGATCGCGCGCGCGCACGCGGACGCGCGCGTGGCAAGCGCTCGAGGCCTTCTCAATGTTCGCAGCAGAAGAATTCGCCAGGTTGGCCTGGCAACTTGAGTGAACCCTTGACGGTGACCGATAGGATTTTGAAGTTGGCATGCGTCTTCAGCGTCTTACAAGAAAAGGGTGAATCCTTAACGGTGACCGATTGAACTTCGAAGTAAGCACGCGTGTTTCATTCACTCCTCCTCCTTCTCCTCCTCCTCCCCTTCCTCCTCCTCCTCCTCCTCCTCCTCCTCCTCCTCCTCCTCCTCCTCCTCCTCCTCCTCCTCCTCCTCCTCCTCCTCCTCCTCCTCCTCCTAAGCAGGGCTAGCGCAGGGTAGCCCAGGGGGCATTATTCCCTGGGAGAAAAAAAAACACCCGACTTAACATGATCCAGCCGGCCCAGTAATAGAGCGAAACGAACCCCCGCCGCGACGAATCTGTTTTAGGACCAGTGGTATTCACCACCGAAAGAACAGGGGGGGAGGCAACTAAATGTAAAAACCTGCCAAGGTGACAGCATCGTAGACACACACGGAGTTTTAGATGGATGGCAAACACCAGGCCTATCACTCCACGACGGCCACCACGAATGCCACGACGATCATGACAGCTACTTTCTAGGACAAACACACCACGGCGACCACTGCTTCAGCCCCGTCGCCAACGGCACTCACAGCGGCACCCACGATAAGCTAGCGGACCACGGCAGATACCACGACGGCTACCACTGCCACTACACCGGCTCTTATGAGCACGTGCACCACGACCGCCATCACGACTTTCACGACAGCATGACAGCGACCCCCACGAGAAAACACACCGCAGCGGCCACCACGACATCAACGACAACGACCATCAGGCACACGCACACCACGGCGGCCACCACTACAGCCACGACAGCCACAGCGGCATCCACGACAAGGAAACACACCACGGCAGCCACCACGACAACCACGACGGCCACGACAGAGACTCTTACGAGCACGCACGCCACGGCGGCTCCCACCACAGCTGCGACACGAGCAAGCACACCTTAGCGGCCAACACGACAACCATGACATTCACGATGATTACGTCGGAGGTTCTTCATTTCCTGGGAAGCCGGATACCAGACGCGGAAGAACTTCTCAGTGACCACCCCGCGTCTGCTACAGCTACTGGAGCTTACCTTGGCAACCTGTTCACATATAATTCTCTACGTCACGGGGCGATGCAAATATGGTATGACCAGTACCAGTCTCACTCGCGCACCACAGACACGCATGGCATCCTCATATATCTATATATATGTATATATATACATACACGATTTGGGTGGCTTTCTCAACCTAATGCGTGGGTCGGGGGACGGGAAGGTGGCACTCGTTGCGGCGACCCACCGCTGGAGGAAGCTTGACCTCGACGACGGCTCATGAGGAGAGTTGGGGGAGGCGATGGTGCGAGGAGGAAGAGGGGATGGTGCGGAGGAAAAGGAGGAGGAGGAGGAGGAGGAGGCAGTGAACACTTTGCCCGCACCAGTACCAGCATAACTCGGGCGCCATATCGACCGTGGCGTGCTTTTGGCGCGTCGCCTCTTGCATGAGGACGGTCCCCATAGCAAGTGAGTGTAGATACTGGGCTGCCCCTGCGTGTAGGGGCTGGGCTCCCCATGGCAAGTGTGTGTAGAGACTGGGTCGCCCCTGAGTTTAGGGACGGGGCTACTGTCATAATTATTTCGAAGACTGGCGCCGCCTGGACGCCACAAAGGAGGAATAATGGTACTGTGAGGTTTGAAGGTGCGGGAAGAAGATCAGGAGAACGGGTAGATAAGTCAATGGAGTACCAAATCTGTTCGCACTCAGGGGCGTCGGTACATAGGCAACGCTAGCAATCTTAACCAACCGCACCCGGTGAGGGCTGGGTTTGCTTTCTGTGAGGATTTTGTCCAAGTATGTAAGTGGACGGGTGGCGGAATCACAAGAGCAGTGGGTTGGGGTGGAAGAAGGCCTGCCAGCACAGACGGTGCCAACCTAATCATTACAATGCTGCCGAGACCAGTCGAAGGCAAGACATTGCAGACCGCTCCAGCCTACAGCAGATTCAGCGTACCAGCTGGCTGCATCACTGCGTTTTAGAAGTTGACGGCCAGCTGCCCCCAGTGCGGGTTAGAACTGCCCTCGGTGAGGGCCTTTTTCACGGGAGGGATCGGGACTACCAATGGCGCTGGGTGGGGCGGGATGTGAGTACCTTGCCGACGCCTGCGCATATAACGCTCTGCGCCTCTGCACTTATTACACCACTCCGTCTGCACTTCTTACACCAATCCGTCTGCATGTAGGTGATGCTGCTGGGCGCGGCATTCTCTAATTCCCCCGAAAACAACACAACAGATTCGCCGCTAGCGTTGGCCTAGCGCTACAAGGAGAATGAGGAATAGGAGGAGGGGGGGGGCGTGCACCTCCGCCCTCCGCCTCCTCTCGCCGCCTCCTCCCTCCCTCTCGCCGCCCTGCCCCCCCCTTCCGCCTCTTCCTCCTCTTCCTCCTCCTGCTCCTCCTCCTCCGCCTCCCCCTCCTCCTCCCCCTCCTCCTCCTTTCTAACGTCACTCCGACCAAAACAAGAACTGTGGCGTTCTTGACGGTAATGTGCAAAAGAAAAAATGCAGGAATGTCAGACTTGGCGAAGAAAACCTGGCGGGCGCCGCGGCGGCAGTAGTAGAGAGACCGGCAGAGCATATAAACATAAAGTAGGCGCCCGCCAGGGGTAGAACATGTCGGCCTGCATACCTTGGTAGAACCAACATCGAGACATGATCTCCCCCATGGCTGAGTTTGTAGTGTTGCAGGCAGCCACGAAGGGTGTGCGCCAGGACGGGCGAAGCGCGCTGCAGTAAAGAGGTACTGAAGAAACAAAGATGCGGCAGATGGGCAGCCAAACGTAGAAGCATAATGCGATCAAACGCATGGGTGTAATATGTAAAGGCTGGCCTGTAAGGCTGGCCTCGGGAGGCAGAACTGCTGCGCCTGGATGAAAGTGGTACCTCCTCCACCACCACCACATATCCCGCCACACCCCATGTGTAGGCCCAGGCAAGCGGCAACACATTGGCGCATGCAAGCTGTTGCAATTCTTGGGTTGCTGCCTAGGCTTTTCGGGTTCACCGCAAACCACCTCGGTCCCAAAACCTACGTGCTTTTTTGTGAGTTCTTCTTGGGTTAAGCACGAAACCTACGTGCTTTTTGTGAGTTCTTCTCGGGTTAAGGTTCGCCTATTGGCTGGCCTGTAGCACGGAGTCTTGCCGTCAGTACAGGTTCGCACGTAAAACCTGTTATCTGCTGGTAGCAGCTGGCTGGTGCAGACTGGCGCAGGTGATGCACGTCGGAGTGCAAATCCATGTCTTCAGTAGCTGCCTGGGAGACGACAAATGGCACCAGCTTCGTACGTACAACGTGCTAGCTGCTGGTAGCAGCTGGCTGGCACAGACTGGCGCAAGTACATGCGCGCAGGACTGTAAATCCGATGCCTTCAGTAGCTGTCAGAGAATCCGCCACTCCTCCTCCTCTTTTTCCTCCTCCTCCTCCTCCTCCTCCTTCTCCTCCCCATCTTCTACTCCATGTCCCCCAACTCCCCCCCAAGGGCGGGCATGTGAAACGGCTCGGAGAAGGTTCCCGCACCAAGAAGAACGCCCTCCCACCCGCACATCCCCCCGCGGACCCCTTACGACGCCGCGGACCCACTGGGCAGGCCCCACCGCCCACCCCCTTGAATATGCCTGAAGATCGCACTTAGGTTTGGGAAATTGAGAACTGTTAAAGTGGGCGTTCAGTCGTGGGGGGGCGATGATTGGGGGATGAAGAAAGGAGCACCTTCCGTGCACTTTGGTGGCCCCATATGGCCCCATCCGGGCCCCTTTCCAGCAACCCTCGGCGACCCCTTATGTATCGCTCCCCTCCCATTACGCAACGCCCAACTTACAAAAAATAGCTGTTTCACGTGAGCGGAACTCCCCCATTCGGACTAATCTCGTCGATCCCCTAACAATGTGCTAGCGCGATCCCGCCTCTCTCGCATACATGTTTTTAGCACACACGGCATGTTCCACTGGTGTACTTCGTCTGCTGGGTTTTCGTTCGGAACGTTCTCGGTCTTTCAAAACATGTGTTGTCGCCGCAGGGTTGGCCACATGCCAGGATCGGTGCCTCGCTCACGTCGTTCAGAATGGCGCTCTCAACTCAGCGAGGGCCATACTTCTGCATCCAACTCGTTCCTCTTCGTTGCCGCACCCCTCTTTTCCCCTCCCCCGCCCTGCGCTGATCCTCCTGCTTCTCCTGCTCATGCTCCCACTCCTCCTTCCCGGTCCTCCTCCTCCTCCTCCTCCTCCTCCTCCTCCTCCTCATCATCATCATCATCATCATCATCATCATCATCATCATCATCACCATCACAATCACCATCGCCATCATCATCATCATCATTATCATCATCATCATCATCATCATCATCATCATCATCATCATCATCAACATCAACATCATAATCATCATAACCATCATCAGCATCATCAGCATCATCAGCATCATCAGCATCATCATCATCATCAGCAGCATCGTCAACATCATCGTCATGATCATCATCAGCGTCAGCGTCAGCATCATCATCATCATCATCATCATCATCATCATCATCATCATCATCATCATCATCATCATCATCATCATCATCTTCATCGTCATCATCATCATCCACCTCTTGCCCCTCCTCGTATGCACCAACGCCCCACATTTCTGATAACGCAGCATCCAATGGGTCACATCCTGCAACTGTCATTAGGGCATCAACGTCCTCTGGAACACCCAGCCGGTGGACAGGAAATGATTCAGCGCAGTGGCAAACGGTGGGTGGGAAGGGGTCGGGTACCAGATATGGCACGAACGGCACCTGGCTTGCCTTCTACCCACTCCCCGTCTCCCCCGCCCTCCCTTTAGCAGAACGGGTGGTACGAGGCGAAGCAGCACATGTTGTCCAAAACCGACGGCGGGTCGTGGGTCCTGTTCTGATTGAGCAGGAAGTGAATTGCTGCGGGTCTTCGTCCCCATCGATTTCCGCACCCATCTCGATCGTACCGATCCCCCCGCTTGTCTCCCCTCTCCTCCCCGTCCCCTCCCGACGGCGCTCCCGGGGATATGCCGCCTCCGCCAACGCGGGGCCGCTCGGCTCACGGGCCGTCCTGTCACCCATCGCCTGCGCCAGCACCAGCGCCTCCATGAGGGTCTCGTACGCCAGGCTGACCTGGCCAGGCCCCGGTTGGGCCTGCGCCCACCACTGCGCAGTGGCGGTGGGCAGGACGACCGAGGCTCCCAAGGAGGAGGAGGAGGAGGTGGAGGAGGAGGAGGAGGGGGAGGAAGGGAAGGAAAGAAGGGAAGGGAACGGAAGGGAAGGGACGGGAAAGGAAGGGAAAGGGGAGGGGGAGGATCGACCCATGAGGGGACGGGAAGGATGATCGGGGCCAGGTTACTATCCTAGAAATACCCACTGAGAGGAGCGACGGCCTCTCATAAAGCTGTTGCGCAGGGCGTCATTTACAAGGGGCCGATCGCTGCGAAGCATCACCCCATGCCTTCCTTGAAAGGCCGCCCCCCAGTCCTTGTCAGGCTCCTTGCCGACACAAGTGGTCCAGCCTCCCCCCGCTTAGGGCCGGCGGAGGGATCCGTATGGACGAGGAGCATGGCGACCTCATCGCGGTGGTTGAGGCACGACTCTGCCTTGCATATGAAGATACCAGGGAGAGGGAGACTAGGAGGAGGAGGAGGAGGAGGCTCTGGAGACTCTGGATGTGGACGAAGTGTGCCGATAACGATGCACCATGCCGAGAAAGACGATAGTACTGAACAGATGCGCCGAACGCTTAACGATCGGCTCGAGCGGAGATGGGCACAGGTTGCTTGAAACCATCACCCACCTTCTCGCCAGACGGACCTCGCCCCTGGATGAGGCACCTCCATGTAAAATGCCGCGCGGACCCCAGGAGCGGTCTTCCTAAACGCGGTTTGGAAATCAATTGCGCTCTCGAAACACATCTGGCAGCGCATTCAAAACACCAAACCGTCGGGCCTGTGCGCTAAAACTTGTGGGGCGGGTGCGCTTCTCGGACTCCCTTAGGACCCCCAAGACACAGAAACCGCGCCAGGTCCCCACGAGGAGCGCCACTATCTCTGCACCTCCGGCACACGCATCGTCCCTGAAACCTTTGAATTCAGTGGCCCCCATTTTCACTTAAGGTGAGGCTGGGCCCGCGCGCGGGCCTTTCCCTCGCACACTTGCTGGGCGTCTCTCCACAGCCTCAATATGCGCAGCGCACGTCGCAACGTCAGTTATACCGCCGACTCCCTCATATTCCTCACCTTCTCGCGCGGTCGCTGTCGGAGATGGCAGTTGGCGCCGCGCCTGGCATAATAATCCGCGGCTTTGTTCCCTAACCAGTGCGTCCTCGCCATGTGCGAGGGAGTCCAGACGAACTCAATCTCCAGACGACCTCAACCTCTGAGGCACCGTTCGCGTGCACAACTTTTCAGGAAATTGTCCACAGCTCGCAATGATGATCCGCCCTGCAGAAATGTGCCTCGGCGCCTTGATCACAACCCACATCTCGCCTGCTCCACAGGTCTGCAACGGGCAGGGTGCCGGCCCCGACGCCGCAGCAACCGTAGCTCAAGCTCCAACTATCATCGCAAAGGCCCAACCTGCTCGAACTCGGACTTCACAGTTAGGAAAAATGCAGCTGCCGTCTGTGCATACTGATCAATCCACTGGCCGCGCACACATGCCAATTGACGATGTCCTCCGCGGTCGGCAAAAGGCGAGTCGAACGTTGGATCTGGCAGCAAGCCCTTGCGCGTCATCATAGTGATGGGATGATCCTGACCGTGCTCTTAACGCCTCCCTTCATTGCTAGCAAGCTGCGTTCCCCGGCAGTCCAGCTGCGTCCTTCCGAAGCGAGCCAAACGCATCTGAAAATTACGTGCGCGTCCGTTCCAGCCTCCACTCCACGCATCGCACGCATCGGCCTCTCCGCCGCTCGCACTTGGCGCGGCCGCGCCTGACAATGAAAACCACCAGAGAGTAAATTCCTGATCAAGCCCGCACATGCGCAGCCTTCTCGGGGTTGCAGAGCACCGATGAAATCCCCGGCCGGTTGCAGTAGCGGCGGTCCTGCCATGACCTCCACGCCAAAACTGTTGGGCATGTCCTGTAGCAGGCGCCACTGCGCGCATTGGTTGACAATCATCTCGAGCGTCGCCACCCCAAAATACGTAGATCAAGCGTAGCCCCTCGTTCAGTAATCCAGCGGCCCCAGGACGCGGCAGTCCACTACAGTCTCGTCAGCGTCATAACCGCGGCTCCAGCAGGCCCTCGAACTCCACGCCAGGACTTGAGTTGGTTCTGCGCGCGCATGAACACTAAAGCCATCGCTCAACGTCGTGCCATTTGCCATGCCGAGCCCGAAGCCAGTAGACCAGTGGATACTCGTCCGCGACGATGGTTGGCTCCGCTCTTGGGCAACGTGAAAACTGAAACTGCGTCTTTCCGCACCGGCTTCTGGCAGCACCGAATAGCGCATGCCCTGCAATGGCTATCGCCTGCTTTAGCTGTGTCCCCGTCATACCTTTTACTTTGACCGAGTAAGCTACTGATGCCAAACCACCCCCGCGAAATTTGCCGATCTGGCGCGTGTCTGAGAGCGTGGGCCTGAGCTTGCTTGGGCTTCGCTCTGCAAGGGGAGGGGGGGGCGCCATTCCCCCGACGCATTCAATGCTCGGGGGCGGGGGGGCCCACAGGCCCCGAAGAAGCCCCCGGGAAGCTCGGGGGGTAGGGTGGGTGGGGGGGGGGGGGGGGGCGCTATGCCAGACGCATTTTGCGCTCGGGGGCGGAGGGGTCGACGGGCCTCCACGAAGCCCTAGGAGGCCCCATAAGACCCCCGAGAGGCCCGAAAGAGGCCCCAAGAGACCCCAAAACGACACCCAATAGGCTTCCCCAGGTCCCTTGCTCAATCCCCTGAGCCTCAATCCTCAAGCCTGGGGATTCCCGATGGGCCCATATCCCAAGCTCTCGAATCCCCCCCGGCCCCCCGCGCGCTCTCTGGGCCCCCCAGAATGTCCCCGCATGGTTTTCTTGAACTCAAGAGAGCCCAAAACGGGCCGACAGGGCCCCGAGAGGCCTTCAAAACGGCCCAACAAAGCCGCGAATCACCGAAAGATCTGTCCAAAACGCCCAAGATGGCCCCATGGCCGTTACCATGATAAACATCAGAACCGCCATCATCACCATCATCATCATTACCCGGAGCGCCCCGGATCGGCGGCGCTAGCCGGAGGCCAACACAATGACCTTCCCATAAACCGCCCTCCCAATGCCAACCGCCTGTGCCTTGCGACCCGCTTCGATGTAGACGTGGTCCTCGCCCGTTGCACTGGGCCCGTCGCCCCGCATCGCGTGGCGCGGTCGCGCCCCAACTGTCGCACTGCTCTGCGCCATCTGAACTGGCACTTCTTGAGCGCAATGCGAACATCCTTTTCCAGCTGCGGGAATGTCGCCATGACATGCCCCTTGTTCGGGCTGAGCTCAAGTCGTAGGTCCGTCAGCTCCTTGCGCAACCTGCTAGCCGCTGGAACAATCGTACGCAGCACTTGCTCATGTGATGCTGTCGCTTGTAAGCTGCCGTCGTCCACCACCTGCGTGAGATTCAGCGATGGCCACAGCGCACAAGCCTACTCATGCGCTCCAAGCGCGAAAAGCAACAGCATCGCTGCCGAAAAGAACTGCTATGTCTCCATGGTTCGTCATGGCAAAATCAGAAACCATGCGACCATGCCGCGCAGCTCTCCTACCCGCGCACGACTCGAGACTTCAGGCCAGCCGTGTGCGCTCGAAGCCGTGCCTGCATTCAACTTCCTAAGGCTTCGCGCGTCGTGCATTCCCGAAAAACTCCTCCAGGTCCAGCATGGCCGTAACCGCGCGCCTCCTGAGCGCAAACCCAGCTGCAGCTCCAAACTGCTTGCTCTGAGCTCCTCCCAACCGTGGCGTAGTGGTAGCTCTTGGCGCTGGCGCTGAGCCACTCCTCCTGGCCCCGCTTGCGGCACTTGCTGTAGACCCCAATCGCTCACCGATGGCCTCCGCGACCCCCATGTATTCGGCGACAACGTTCAAGGAGCCATCCTGCAGCAACGCCATCTTCCTTGGGCCGAGGCTGTTCGCTTCCGACGCTGTGTTGCCCTTGAAAGAGATGGCCACCTTCCTGACGTGCTCCGCCTCCAACGCCTTCACCTCCTGCTGCGACACGTGTAGACGTGAACCAGCGCCGAAGCTCTTCACCAGCTCGTGCTCTCCACATGCGCTTCTACGCCTCCAGGTCAGAGTGAAGCTTGGATGCGCGCGATTGTATTCCACCAGCAAGGTGCATGTTCGCTTGCAACCATGGCGTCGGTAGCTTAGACCATCTGCGCGCGCTCCTGAACCCCTTCTCGACAGCATCTGGGGCCAACCTCCTGCATTGCCGGACCCGACCATTGGCGAACTCATGCTCGAAGCTTGCGCCCCCCATCGCAGCGCCCCAGCTCGCATCGCGAAGCCAATCGTCATCCCGCACAAGCTCAAAGTCATATCTGTAGCACCAGATGCCCCGTTGCTGTCCCGTGTCCGCCTCCTTGTTCTTCATATTGGAGGCCGGGGAATGGGCGCCAACACCAACACAGGGGGTTGCCTCCACAGAGGGAAGATGATCCTAGAGCTCGGTGTTGGCGGTAATTACGGTCACCTTGGAAGCCAAGATATCTCCACCATCGCCGAGATCGGGATCTTCCTCCCTCGGTGGGTGCACGCCGCCGATATTGGTGTTGGTGTCAATCTGTAGGCCTGCGATCAGATTCCTCACGGTGTTGAACCTGTCCTCGGCAGACTTGCAGCCCGGGTCCCAGTTCCGCTTTGGCGCGTGCATGCGGCCAACCATGACCAGTGAGGCCTGTCTCCTCATCCTCGATGCAGCGTTGCCTTCAGCTGCGTGCCCTGGCGCTCTGAGCAATAAGCGTGGACTCTGGCCGCGGTCGGCCCCGCGTCCTCGACGAACTCCGCGGGGAGGTCGCGGCGAGACCCTGCCTTGAATGGAGGGATACGACAAGGGGATCAGAGAGGAGGACAAGGAGGAGGAGGAGGGGGAGGAAGAGGAAGAAGAGGATGAGAAGGACCAGTGCCAACCCAAAATGCATCAACGATGTTGGAAGAAACCTTCCATCCGA